GTGCGTTTGAGCGGATGTCGGGCAAGTGGCTCGGGGGGCGCGCATATGTCCGAGTGAATGCCGGTCAAGCGGCCGCTGGCTGAGGGGCCCAGCCGATGGCGTTGTTATGCCAGAAAAAAGCATGTTTTTACCCATCACAGGCATGCCATCAGCATGACTATGAAGGTAGACATAAAAAACCGACTATATGCGCAAGCAAGGTTGTGTCAAAATTTCAGCGCAATCGGTTCAGTACTTTCCGAGATTACTGACAGCACACAAAAAACACTTCCATTTTTATGTATCAGAAAGATGGCATAGCTTTTTCGCGCGACCAAAGGAGTAATTTTTCCCTTCCGAGTCTGACAATTACCGAAGGCAATAGAATATTTGCGTAGATGAAATGTGTTGCAAAATCTTTAGGAGTTCATCCCTGATATGGCTCTGCTAACTGATTACATAACCTATAAAGGTGATTAAGTAAATCATAAAACTGCTGCATGGCTTTGTAAGAACGACGGATTAAGATGCACTTTAAAGCATTAACAGGACACACAGAATTTTAGGCTTTGCTGCATATTATTCGAAAAAATCATTTTATGTTTCAGCGACACGACGCAGTTTTCTGCTTGGTTCATGAAATTATCGGAATTAGTCAGGGAAAACATTCGCTATTTTTCTCTTCGATTCTACTTCGTCGTCCGTGAACCATATTTCAGCACAAAAACTGAGGAAGAAGGTCGTCCTTTGTTTATGCGCATGCTCGCTGGGTTGTGGTAGTCTTTATGGTTAGGTAGCAAATAACAGCCTTGAGAAAGTTAGAGTACGGACATGCAAGAGGTCTGAAATAAAGAAACTTAATTGGCCATCAAGAAAAGACTGATATTTTGAGAAAATAATTGCAGGATCTCAACAGCACGGATAAAAATTTTGTCTACTGACTGTCCGCGAACGCATGATTTGAATTACTATGTTGCGATCGCAATATTTAGGCAGTGTTCAGATACTTCGACTGCACAAACCTGCGTCATTATTTAACAAACTACCCGACACATTTCCGAAGAAAATAGACGCAAGAGTAATATTTTCTCTCATTCAGAATGGCACACCCTTAGACGATATTTGGGCTGCAAGACTTCGTCGGTTAATGTCCAGAGCAGATATTGTCAAGATGCAGTCGTTTAATTTCGCATAGTGTAGCGAATAGCAGCAAAAGCGTTTCAGTCCTCAAATCGAAAGGTGCTGTTTTTACGTCAGTTTATACTTATTGAGGCACACTGTTTATCTGATTAAAATCGAATGGAAAGTCCACATGGTAGAACAAAATTTATGCCTAATTATTTACAACACTGATTTTGGATATTAAGGATGTGAAAATACAACTCTGAAATCTAAGGAAATCAGCAAACATGCTTCTCATCGACCCGGGCTTTTAATGGTGATCGGTGAGTTAAAAATACTCGGAAAACTGATCTTTCGACTATAAGTGATAAAGAGAAGTTGGAATATAACCTCTGTAGCATCCTAATGGACGAGAAACCTGAAAGCACGATGCTGATGTCTACTTTATTTCATAGCGTTAATGGTGCACAAAATGATGTATTGGTAATCACCCAAGCACCAAATACAGGGAGTTCGTGGAGTGATGCAGCAGTTTCAATGTTTATTACATTAATTTTTATAAAGGACAGAACCACTTAGTAGAAACCTCGTGAATAGTTACCGTAGTAAATTCTATTCCTAAGGTACTTTCTGACTGTTGCACTTCAACGTGATGGCCATCCATTTTGATATACTTGTGAAATCGTTCCTCTTACCTTGTGAGTACATTCAAAAATGAACAGCGGTTTTTATTTCCACCCTGCTTCACTGAAGCAACAAGGTTTTTATGGGACAACGAACCTCCTGAGATTGCCTTGCAGAACAAAATTTAGTAAGGATTGATGAAGCTGATTGATTCACTCGTACCTACCCGTTTGTTTGAAAGCAGATTATTTAAAATCTGTGACATGTTCAACGCAACGTGCTAGGGTGCTCCATCCCGCTGGAAGAAGGGAAGAATTTCGCCTGTGTAGTTCATAAACGAAGATATTCTGCAACACTGTCATATAAATTTCCTTACTAACTTTAGCCGTTGCCTCGCCAGTCTTCCGAGTCTTATGCTTACCAAAGGCAACAGAATATTTACGTAGATTAAATTGTGTTGCATATATGCAGAAGGAAGTTCAAACAGAGATAAGGAAGCCTGGAAAGGCAATTTCCCCTCATCATTTGTTATATTTAGAAGACCTAATTACTGAGTATTTTTTTACTAAGATAACTATTATATTCGATCGCAACCAAAAGAACATGTAGCCTATGGCGCAGTGACAAAGAGTTGGACTCAGTAACTAAAGATCGCGGGTTTGAATCTCAGGCGAGCCAAACTCGGGGCTGGGTGTGGCTGGCTGGTGGCGGCCAATAAGTCAGAAATGTTCATTCTAGTTTTCCTGGTCTTCATTGCAACACCCATCCGAGCATACTTTTCCTGAGAAGCATTCCGTCGTGCTCGCAATATTTAGCAGTGTGCTCAGATACTTGTACTGCACAAACCCGCGCCCTTATTTAACAACCTAACCGACATATTTCGGAAGAAAATAGACGCTAGGTTAATATTTTCTCCCATCCAGAAGGGCACACCCTTAGATGATGTTTGGACTACGGGACTTCCTGGGTTAATTTCTAGGGCAGACATTGTCAAGATATCCAGAGCGAAGTATCTTCGATTTTAAACAAACTCCAGAAGACTTTCCGCATACAAAAACTTTTCGTTTCCGTGAATTCGTCTATGGAGACAGTAAAAATTCCTGTTATGTTGTACCTGTTCCCCACACTCGGCAAAATGGCTCAAATCCTCCAAATAAGTAGTATAAGCCCTCATTAGGGGAAAGCGCCTAAATCTATCCTGATTGCCATTGATTCGCGTCTCAGTCTGCATTAGGAAACAGAGAGAAGGCAACAAAATTTTCGGTAGTTAATTATTTCAAATATGGCTGATGATCAAACTAGTGTTATCCGAAAGACATATACACCACGATGACCTCTTAAAGCAGTCGAGACATCACTTCGAGCGGGCGTTCGATTAAGCTCTCTGCTGACTTTTGAAAACCTTTTTTAGCATTTAAACTCAATGTAGCAACTTGAATAATCTATGAACATTACTCTTGAGGTTTTGTCACAGCTGCTTTTTCACCCATGATTTGCCACACCGACGCATGCCAATTTACTGTGAGTAGAGAAGAAAACGCCCACGAGCATTCGGACTATGCAAAGTGCGGATTAGTAGTTCACTGTCGCCTCAAGAAGCATTGAATTTCCCTCAAGGTAGTGCGTCACTGTGAGTGACTCATAGCTATATCAGTTTGATATTTGCAAACGACGGGGTCCACAGTGTGTCCCACAGAGTAGTCGGCGCAGGACGGTGGTTTACGCGTGAGTTATTCGATAGTGATGGCGGACTTGGGCTGTATCTGTCACACTCGCCTCCCCTCCAACCATGGGGTCCGGTGGCAAGACAGAGTCAGAAAGACCGAGGGCAGACTCGTGCGCCGTGGCTGAAAAAGCTGAACTGTTTAGTTGCGCGTGTTACAAGCGATCTGGTTCGCGCAAAGTGAATTAAGGTTTCAGCGAGTTCCTACAAAGCATCCAGTCAAGCAGATTCGATTTGTGAATAATCGGAACAAACTTATTTACCACTTTATTTGCTTTTGATCCTGCATCAAATCATAGGGCGATAAACGAAATACTTACGGCTACGAGACTGAGGCCGATGGCATACTGGCAAGTAGAAATTGATATTTTTCCAGTATACCTTTTGACTAGATTGCTTCTAGATGCGTTATTGCTTAAGGACTCGAAGGAAAAACGTGTAACGAACATTTTATTTCGTGCAATGACATCAGCGGAATAACAGAGTCAATTATCGATTCGAAAAGTTCTGTAACCTTCCTGCCGGTACTTATTTAAGGATAACTTTAAGGCGTACTGGCAGAATATTTTGAAGTTGGTGTTAGAGCCGGCAGTCCGAGATTTGAAGGTGACAGTTTGTTTTTTTAAGTATTTTCCCTGAGTTGTCATCTTTCACATGAACCATACTAGCAACAGACCGTAAAATACTATTTCACCAATACCGCTCTAAAAATCTGGCATCGTCTATGTTTTCGTATATCAGTTAAATGGCAGCTTTTACATCATTCACCTCTTCTATGAAGTACATCTCCTATTCTCCGCGAAGCAAGTACAACTGAAAAAGTGGTCTCATGTGGTTCCCATGTACCAAACATTGTTTACGCTCATGCGAATCATTAAGACGGTCCGTAAACCTAAGCGCTCTGACCGCACTATACATTTCGTGTGGTGACACGTTGAGACTGTCAATGTTCGTTCTACCTGTCGGAGTCTCCAACTTTGATGCGATTCGTCTTATATGACGGTTTTTTTGCAAAACCAAGCGACACTCCCTCGTCGTGCATGCTCTATTCCCGTGATTGGTTGTGACCTGAACGATCATCCTATTGGATGGCCGCTTCAACCTAGCTTCTGATTGGCAGACATTAGAAAAGACCCAGGGGAGGCAACAATGCCCCATTTTTAGCGACAACGCAAAGCCTTTAGTGACTCTTCGTCGTCAGTTTCGCGCCACCAGATGTGAAACGAAAATTTTAACGGGGAGCAGAATATGTACTTGATTTCCATACTGTGGGTTCTGTTCCACCTGACCTTCCAAGTGCACAGAGCTACGGAACTCAGGGATTGTTTTTGTGGCTATAAACGCTCCGGCATGCTTGCCATGCTTCGTTGTTTTCCCAACAAGGACTACATGGCGGCAGCAGTCTTCCAACCAGTTTCTTGCAACCGCGTGAAGGATCTCATTCGAATTGGTGACCAGGAAGTTGTTTGGCAGGAATCCACCAAAGATAGACCATTGGGCATGTCCATAGAACCCTACGGTCTCAGTGACTTGGACTTCAAAGGTACAGCTCTAAGCGCCATAAACTTACAGCTGGATCTCCCTCTGAATGCAAAGCTCCTGGATGCTTTCGCCTTCGCCGGTCTCCCTAGTTTACGGGGCCTTCGTGCATGGAGACAATCGCTCGCCCTTGAGTCCTGCAGCCTGGCTGGCCTTCCCAAACTCGAAACTGTGGTACTCAACTGCTCGTCCACTTTCAACAACTTCCTAACATTTGGAGATTCCTTTAAGTCCCTGCGACTTGTAGGCTGTCGAGATCTGCCTATTCAGTTCGTGTGCACGCGCTGTAAGCAGCAGCCGAATACGAATGTTCTCCGTATTTTACCGGGGCCTCCGTCGGCCGAGAGTCAGATCATTTTTGAGACGGTGCCCCCGGAAGGTGATGGGCGATTGCCGGTGGGACAATGTATCCCCGGCGTTTGCTCGGACGAGCACCTCTGCAGGAACAATTATGCCCTAAAACTCAGCAAGGAATTTACCCTGAGACAAATGTCTGCTGAGCTACAACCCCCAGTCCCCGACCTCCCTGCAAACACAACTGGTTATCAAACAATCTTCGGCCTATTGGACTCCACCAACAGTTCGCTTGGCCAACTGGCAATTCTTATTATCCTTCCGCTCGTCTTGCTGATCCTCCTAATCTCTGCTCTGGTATGTGCCTGCCTCCTTCTGAGAATGACGGGCTTCCTGGGCGGCACAACCCGCGTAACTCGAACCACTCAGCTCCCTGTTGGTACTCAACCGCCAAATGCTGTCTACAGCCAAATTCCGGCAAAACTCTAGTCTTCCACGCATTCTGTGCAATGCCTTTCAACTTGCCTGCTCTACTCTTCTGAACTTTTTGACAGTAGCCCTGTTCACATGCATTACCAGCTCCCAGGCCTTGCATATGACCCCACGGCCGAGGGAGGGGCCTCCCTTCCAGTGGACGGGGCAGTTAATGAACCATACTGGCTGTCCTATGACCATGCAATCTACAACTTTTCGGCTGACAGTCTTCATCTTCATCTCCCCCCGTGGTGAGCAGCCCCTCGGGGCACAGTGAATTCTATACGGGATGTTTATTATTAAGATTCAACTCGCTATATCCCCTCTCTTGTATAATAGTATTTCTGACTTCTTCCGCTGTCGTGATCAGATGCCTACTTTACTCCTATACGTTCCATACCGACCAGCACACTATACCTACAGTAAATAGCGTATTCGAGTGCATTGTTGTTTTTATTCCGCCCAAGCAGGTGGTTGATAAACAAACTGTCGCAGGCTAACTGCTCCATCTATCGAGCTATGAACGACACAGGTGGTGCTCGAGCCAGTGGTGCCACAACTTCCGCCGGTCATCTGTTTCTGTCCTATTTAGCAGTTCTTAACATCGAAACTCATCCATGGGCCTACCGAAGTCTGATAGGCCGTCCGTTTTAGCATGTTACTCCGGTGAAATTGGTGCAAAACCAGCGGAGCGGCAAGAGCAAAGTTTTTGGCAACTTGGTTTTTTGAGAAGGAGAACAGAAGTAGGACTTCTGGTTGCAATTCGATGGTTGATCTATTAAACAAGTACAGGGGCAGTATGTTTTAACTCTAAAGTTCTCAAATAAAGTTCCCAAATAGACATGGGATTTCCGGTTGAGTGATATAGACCGGCCACCTGAACTTAAGTCAGATCTGGTAAATTGGACCGCGATTCTCTCCTTCTGGGTTATTTGAACTCCCGATTTTCCACCTTATCAACTACAATTCTTTTGGGCCATCTGGTATGATCAGGAGCAGTTGGTATCGGTCAGTTGCAGCTGCCATTACACTAAACTTCTGTTTTAATTTTTTTGAGGACAATTTGCCTAAGCAAGCACCCCCAATTAAAATTAAGAAAGACGAGTGCTTCGAAGCAGGCATTTTTAAAATCTTGTTTTAAGAGTTTCATTCAGTTTGGCGTAATTATGCGTTCGATACTCGCCCGCGCACCGTTAACCCACGATGGTTTCGTAGTGACGCACATCCGTTTCCATAAATTATGGCCTAGATTATGTATTCATCAGAGCCCCACGTTCGGCTATTCTGGAATTTTAACAGCTGTCGTCAATCCTCATGACGACTGAAATGAAAAATGACCATTGTCTTGAACACAAGGGTGTATATTCCAACCTCCGGGCTTCATGTTTTATTCAGCACATTCCGAGGTTGATGGAAGCTGCCTTCAGAGACGGCAATTCGTACATGTTTCTATTTCGTCTGTTATATTTTCCTGTTCTGTCCTACCAGGCGTTCATTCCGTGGGAAAGTCACGTAGAATCGTTTCACAACTTCCGGCTCAAAGTAAGACGGGCTCCACAGGCCATTAAAGTTGACATGTAACTTAGTGGCATATATGAGTTGTGAGCACACTAGTCCAGTCCCAAACGTCTAAAGAAATAATACATTTGTCGGCGATGTTCTGGTGCTTAATTTCTTCAATGAAATGAAGACTGCCTTTTATCATGTAGCTGGAAAACAAGTGTCGAATTGGTTCTAGCTCCTTGACAAGCCATTTTGCTAATCTCTATATAGGTGACTTTGATATAGAGAGAATTGGCCGTAAAGGTATGTCCTTCTTATGCGTTTTTGGTAGACCGTATAGTCTGAAGGTGTGTGTCTCTCAGTTTTAGGAATAGTGCGGTTTTAGAATCAATGAGGTTTTTATCCAGCAACTTTTGAACCTTTTTCCAGACTGAGTCTTCCAATGTCTTGGTTTCATCTTTACCAGACGCCTTTAGACGAAATTCGGGTTCAATCGTAGTTGGTAGCCAGAAATGAGGAAGCGGATGGCGACCTTAACCCTAATCCTAACCTTAAACCTAACTCTAACCTCGACCTTAAACGTTAACCGTTAACTCTAACGGCAACCCTAGCCGAAATCGTAAACGTAACCGTAGCCCTTAGACATAGCCGTGACTGAAAAACCTAACCGTAATACTAAAACCTAATCTTACGCTCAAACCCTAACCGTAACCAGAAAACCTAAGCCTAAATGCATAACCCTAACCCGAAAATCGAAGACCATTAACTGGTACCCTAATCTTAACCCCAAACGTAAAACGAAGGCCAAATGGATCAGATGTGATTATGTAACCCCACAAAATAGCCGCAGTAAACAAACCCCCCGCCACCTGTAATACAGGGCTTGGCTACCAACTGCGACCTAGCCGAAATTCGCTCTGTTCATTTAAGATGCAAATGTAGTCTTCAATCTTGGATCCTCTAGAGGGTAAGTCGTGCGTCGGTCCCTTTGTAGAATATCGCCCAATGTTTCCGACGGTCAATGTTAATTTTCATTTGATTAA